GTTGGCTAGGTTCAGGCCCGGCCCAGGGCCCTGCCGAGAGCCCTCTTCCCAGGCAGTGCGGCTCGCCTCCCCTCCCCCACCACAAGGCCCCCTGGGTGGTGTGTGGGCCCAGGTGGGAGCCCCGGCAGTGCTGCAGGGGTGCTTCTCCACCACAGGCTTCGCCACCAGCCCTCTGCCCCAGAGGCCGCACCCAGGACCTGGACGCAGTGCTGGCAGTGATGGAGGGTGCCCGGGAGTTCATCTTCGCCTCAGTGATGGAGTACTTCCCCACCACGCGCTTCAGCCACCCTGCCAGGTGACCGCTGGGAAGCGGGGCCCTGGAGAGCACAGTGCCCCCATGGGCAGCTCCCAGGTTCACAGGTCTCCCCTTCTGCCAGGACCCCTGTCCATCCCAGGGCCCTTAGGCAGGACCCTGCCTTCCCCAGGTACTGGCCAGTGCTGGACAATGCACTGCGGGAAGCCGCCTTTGGCCGGCGTGTACGTGTGCGTCTGCTGGTCAGCTGCGGGCTCAGCACGGACCCCACCATGTTCCCTTACCTGCGGTCTTTGCAGGCGATCAGCAACCCCTCTGCTGGCATCTCAGTGGACGTGGTGAGGCTCTGCTCCCAGGAGAGGCTGGGGGAGGCGGGCCCTCCTCTCCCTTCCCCTCCCTCCCCTCCCCTCCCATGCCCCTTCTCTGTTCCAAAGAAAGTCTTCATCGTGCCTGTGGGGAATCACTCCAACATCCCCTTCAGCCGGGTGAACCACAACAAATTCATGGTCACAGAGAAGGCAGCCTACATAGGTGAGCAGCTGGGACACCTGGGTACTGCTGAAGGCGGTCAGGGTCTCCAGTGGAGTTCTGGGGACCAGGCATCTGTCACAGGGGCAGGCAGAGGAATCCTGAGCTGCAGGGCCCAGGATGTCCATCCCACGGTGACCTGGTGGAGTTTCTGCACCTGCCCTGGCTGGACTGATAGCAGAGCAGCCAGTGTGCCCACTGTCCCCAACCTACAGCTGGGGCCACAGTCCAGGGCCTGTGGCAGGGGCTGAGCCCAGCACTCCAGCCTCTCTTCTGGACCTCCTCCCCAGGCACCTCCAACTGGTCAGAGGATTACTTCAGCAGCACCTCGGGCGTGGGTCTGGTGGTCAGCCAGAGGGCCCCCAGTGCCCAGACAGGGGTGCAGCCCGCACAGGAACAACTGCGGCAACTCTTCGAGCGTGACTGGAGTTCCCGCTATGCTGTGGGCCTGGACGGACAAGCCCCAGGCCAGGACTGTGTCTGGCAGGGCTGAGGCCCAACCCCTTGGCTCCTGGTCCACAGCCCCCAGTGAACACTGCTGTCCACCAGGCTGTTGAAGCTCAGAAATTATAAATGCAAAAGAATGTTACCTGGGGCCAGAGAATTGCAATTCAGATGAACACAGGTTCTGACAATTTTGAATTAAGCTCCGCAGACCCTCAGGTGGCACTGGCTTCTCAGGGGAGGAGGGTCTGTAGCCCTTACATGGAAAGGCCTCGACTGCCAGAGGACCAGCCCCAGCTGTGTCTCACTGGCCACCCACCCGTGAGGGCTGGGCCAGACCCAGGCATACAGCTGGCGGGCATTGCTGAGCACTGCCCAAGTACAACCCCCAATAAGAGATGCCGACGGTTTGCAGGTCTCGCCCCCGTCAGGTGTACCCGGAGCCGATGGCCTCGGCTTCCCATTGAAGCGCTCTTTGTCATGGCTGCGTTTCACAGCAGCCTCTGTCCAGGCTCTGCAGCTCCTTCCTACCAGATTCTCCAGGGGGGGGCGTGCTAACCTCTGGGTGGGTGCAAACTGCTGACCTTAGGGAGTAATCCCAGCCCACAAGTGAGGCCTGCAAGCCAGTGTCCCACCCCTTGCCCCAGGGACCCCGCAAAGAGTCAGTGTCTACGTGGTCACTCCAGCCCTACTACTTTTCCACGGGGTCAGCAGAGCCTTAGGAGCCTAGGGGAGTTAGAGTTAGGGACTGGAAGGGGTCCTTGGCGCCAAGGATCAACTCGGGCCGCACTTACCCTCTCCTAATCCGAAGCCCCAACACTGGCTCCACTTAGAGGGAGTGGCTCACGGCAACACACTGCAACCGCAGGGTGTCACTGGAAGATGCAGGACTCCCAGAGTGTATAGGAGGGGTGGGGGGTGGGGGGCTGGCCTGTGGGGGCAGGACTGGGATCGTGTGGGCGTGGCTGGCGTTCGGGGTGGGTCCTGGGGCTCTGTGGGTGGGGCTAGTATGTGGGGGTAGACCTAGGGCTTTGTGGCACGGCCTGGGGTCTGAGGGTGGGCCCAGGATTTGGGTTAGAACTGGGCCAGGTTGCAGGGCCCTGGTCGCAGAGCTAGAGTATGGGTTCCAGAGAACCTGTACTTGAGCTTCCGGGAGGAAGAGGACACAAAGCTGGGATAGGGAGTCCAAAGGACCTCACTGGAGCTCCTGTCCTTGATGCAGAAGCAGGAGGTTAGCCCATTTTGGAGACTGAGTTCTGACTTTTCTCTTCTGTGTACTGAGTCAGAAGCCTGTTTCAGTAGTTACCCTTGCTCACATGATGGCTTTCGACCAAGAATCGAGGCCCACTTGGCCTGCCGAGGCCCAGAGGTCACACAAACTGCAGCTTGGCTTGCCCGATAGTGAATGGACGCCAGGCTGCTGGTGTCGCACTTGGTCGTCTCCCTGCCCTCTCTGGTCCTCTGTGCTCTTGGAGGGCGAACCCCGTCTGCACAGGCAGCTGCAAGTTCCGTTTCTTCATTGTCCTTGCACTTGTTCACCTCACCCTAAACCCAGCCCGCCTCCTGCCTGCTTTGTGAGGATCTGGAGAGTGTGTGTCTGTGGGAGTCCTGGGAATCCACAAGTCCCGAGAGCCCCTTGGAGCTCCTGGTCCCGGGTCCAGGTGTGCGCGGCACTTGGCAGAGCCAAACCCGGAGGCTGCTGTGGCCGCTCCCTGCAAGGTACTTCCCTACCCACCACCAGATCTCCCCTCTGGCTGAGGAGCTGGAGCAGCACCCCTCTCTGGAGCAGACACTATCTCGCCCACCTCTGCCCTTCAGGGCTGCATGTGTGGGCTTGGTCTCTGGCCCCCACTGTCCAGGCCTAGAAGCAATGCCCAAGGGGCACTCGGTGTTCTGGGCTGCTTTGGTGGCCCTCAGCCTGGAAAGGCCTGCTTCCACACACGGGGGTCCTGTGGCCGCATCTCAGTGACATCCTAAAAGGCCGGCTCCAAAGCAGACACCGATTCTCCACAGCTGACCCAGATTGACACGGCTTGGGAGACCTGGGGATGGGGCGCCATGATGTGGCTTTCCCTGGATGGGGTAGACAGACTGGAAACCAGCCTCTCAGGTCTCTGCCCCTGTGAATCTCATCTCCTTGCTCAGGGTCAGGCCCTGTGCCTTGCTCGTCACTCATAGGACACACAAAGGTGATGGAGGCTGTCATCTCCTTGGTGACATGACATAGACTGCACTGTTGTCTTGTTGGGTATCTGTTCCCTGCTAACTTTGATGAAGAGAGTTGTGCTATGGGGAGGTCCAGGTGACCGAGTACCCGGTGGCCTCCAGCCAGCCAGAAGCCAAGGCCCTCACTCACCGAGCACTCGGGGAATGAACACCCGTCAAGGTAGACGCAGCCTGCTGACATCTTGGTGGCAGCTGTGTGGGGCCCTGAACACATGACCCACTGAGCCACACTTGGACTCCTGACCGTCAGAAATGGGGATTATAAACGTGTGTTGTCTTAGGTGCTAAGTGGTGATGGTGTCCTTTTGTAGCATAGATGACTCACACACAGGGAACCAAGGTCCTTGAAAATCCTGTGGGGCCTCTGTACAGCCACCTCCTTCCTGGCCTCCAGCCCTGGCATCCCACTCCTCAGGCCTTGCTCCAGGTTCAGAGGGCAGAAGCCTTTGGAGCGAGGTAGACCCCGTGAGCTCCCTGGGACTGTGCCAAGCCATCTGTACATGGGGCACAGGAAAGCAGAGCACCCTAGGAAGCCGGGC